GAGCGTGTGTAATGTTTGAACGGGTGGTGGTGGGGGTGGGCGTGAAGAGATTTTTTTTTTACATGCCAAAGTCGAGCAGTCTTGTTTTCTCGCAGTACCTTTTGAAGTCCTTTTCAAATGAAGTATTGTCCGGGAACGTTGCCCTAACCACAATAATTGAAGTATCTGAATATTCAGACATTTAAAAATCTTTAGCTCAATGCAAAAAAATGCTTCCTCCCAGTCCTCGCAGAATGGCAGAATGAAAGATGACGTCGAAATAGTCTCAAATATCAAAAAAATCTGGAGAACAGAAAGAGGTCAAGTTTATTTTCCCGTGCTTTCGGATAAATAGTCACTTCGTAATAATAGCTATTCACAAACCACTAAACTCGGCCAGCAAACTTTACACGTTTGCCCATGTTGCTTTTTTTATAATGTATTGGGACAAAAAATTATAGGCGTAGTTTTCCCGTGCCTGTTCTATGACCTTAATTTTTAGGCATCCTCTGTGAGGTGCTAGAAACAAAATATGTGTGCCAACGAAATCTTTAGTTCGCCATTTTCAGCATATCCCTCTAATATATTTTTTGTCTTTTTTAAACTAAGCGTAACTTTTTTCTTCTTCAGCTATCTATACATTTATTGTTTATTTATTACAGATTGGTTGAATTTGATTCTCTCATCACTTTTTGCCAATGGAACTTAAGCTCATCAGACTCAAAACTGTGGGTGCTTGGCGGGTGCTCTCGTGTGGTTTGTTCCTTCTTTCCTATCAATCATCTATCATCCTTATAATAATTTCTCCTCCTTCTTTTTTGTGTTTGTTACTCTCTTGTAACACCACTAATATTTGGCAGTTATATGACATTAATGTGTCGCAAGTGCCGTAAAACACTTACTAAAACTAAACCAAGAGTCTTCATTGCTATTCAGCGCAAGTGCCGTGGCATGTCATGCGACTCGTGGACTGCTGACAACATACCTTGGTTCGGGGGAGCTAGCACCGCGGTGGGGGAGTTCCGCTTTTAGTAAGTCGTGTGTGTGTATGTGTGTGTGTGTGTGTGTGTGTGTGTGTGTGTGAGTGTGTCTGTGTTTGTTTGTGTTTGTGTGTGTGTGTGTGTGAGTGAGACAGAGAGAGAGGGGGGGAGGTAGAGAGAGAGAGACCAAGAGAGGGGTAGCTAGAGAGAGAGAGAAAATGTGTGTATG